GGGGAGGGATGAGGGGGGGCGAGTGGGGAGGGGGAACCCCATGCCACGGACACACATGACCACACACATCCCTCCTTTCTGGAGAAGGATTATTTTTATCGTTATAAATATAGAGCGCTGATTTCTCCTTTGACCCATAGAGGGGGCATTTCTTTAAGGGATTCTGTTTTCCCGACGGTGTCGCTTGGGAGTAAAGGAGCATATATATATATATATACACACACATATATATGCACAACGCACATGTACACACATATATATACCCGCTATAACTGTGCTCTTGTCCCTGCTGAGCTTTCGGAGCATTCCCTGAATGGGAGCTGTCACCCCCCTGCCCCATGCCGCTATACTGTCAGTGGCTTTAATAAGCTGAGAAATGAGACTGGCGGTATTTTGGGGCCGATTTGCTTGTTTCTGGGTGAATGAGAGCCGGTTTGTTTGTGTTGCAGCTTCGGCATCAGCCTGACTTGCGGGGAGTCGGAAGATCCTCCTGCGGATGTAGCTATTGAACTGAAAGCCGTGTTTACAGACAGACAGTTTGTCAGAAACTCTTGTGTCGCCGGAGAATGGGGGGAAGAACAATCGTCTATTCCTTATTTTCCGTTTATACCGGACCAGCCTTTTAGGGTGAGTACCAGGATGACAGCGGCACACGCCGGATCTGATAAAGTGTAATATGACGAGAGTCACGGCAGAACCCGACTTGCCTCGTGTGAAATCGCGGTCTAGCCCGCACCGCTCCGGTTGCAGGATTGTTTGTATGGATCAGGAGTTGCGCGCAGATCCTGCTGCTGCAGGCAGTTCGGATGGGGCTGCGAACACCTCAGCGGGGTGTTATGACAAGTGGCAGGCTGTAATACCGCGTGACGAAGCGCACTTCCTCAGCTTAGTTTTATAGCTATAAATTAAAAAAAGTACCTCTATGTTATTAGTGCATTACGAGTTATTACTGGAAAATGTAAATACTCGGTGGGACTGCCGTATGTTTTGATGGTTTTTTTAATGGACGCAGTGTTTGCAATTTAGTGCGGCTAATAAGGATCACGTTCATCCTTTGTCTCCAGGGATGTTACACTGAGGTTGACCGTAGCCCTTCGTGTGAGCAGATTAAACGGCTAAGCAATAGTGGTATTCTTTTCCGAAGCCTGGGATTAAATCTCCCGTCAAATTTAAGTCTGTAGTCACTTGAAAGTGGTGTAGGTGGAAATACTGTGGTGCAGGGGATGGACTGGGTTGACCTAGAAGCAGATTCCCATCTGCGGTGTTTATGGTTATGTGAAGATGTCTTTGGAAATCAGGACTAACAAAGTATGCAGCTGCAGAGGGCTGCTTCTGTCTAGGCAGCTTCACTACATTGAGGGGGGGAAAAAAGGCTGCATGCCTTCTCCACGCGGCTGACCCAGAAAAACCCTCCTCCTCCTCCTCCCCGCCCCTCTTATGAAACCTCGATGGCCCCTCTGGCTAAATGCCGATGCTCCGACCAGCTGCCAAACTCTCCTAATCCATCTTGCCCCCCAGATAATCTCCCCCCAACCCCAAAAGCTCACCGTCTCCCCAGATGCTTGGGCTTTGAGAGGGTCTTTATGACTGGTTTTGTTGGGAATCGGTTGCGCTCCTACTCGCTTCTACAAACTCTCCCATCAGAGCTGGAAACGCCCTTTTGGTGCGTGCGGGAAATGCGCTTGAAAGGGTTGGGAGGCCTGGTCCTGCTCTGGCCGAGAGGGTTATACTACCTGCTGCAGTGGGGTAGTGCCTGGGCCAGACAAATTACCCAGAGCGGGTTTTGTGGGTGTCCCGCTAATGACAGTTGACGTTAGAGGACAGCGATATTGCACATTTGCCATGAGATACTGTAGAAAGCGAGTAGTTGTTATTTTTCTTCTCCCCCCCCTCTTTCTTTCCCCCTCAAATGCACAAATGGAATTTAGGCCCCAAATTGACTTTGATGGTCTCCCTCTTAGTGAATAAATTAGACTATTAAGTATTCTTGCCAATTACTTGTGATCCAGTCCAATTATCGTTCTGACGTGGCCCAGGGTGATCTGAAAAAAAAAAAAAAATGGATGGTAAGCAGCGTTGAGGCTAACCATATCTTTTACATAACACGGCCTGAGGCTGGATGCACCTGCCGCAGTGACACAGGAGCTACGCGGCAGCGCGGGCGCGTCCCTGTGTACGTGGCGCGCTACGAGGTCCCCCGGAGTTTAACTTCTGCTGGACTGTCTGCTGTCACTTCTCCCACTGCAACGTGCCCTCAGTCAGTCGGGCTTTGGCTCACTGGGTTTATTGCTGGCCCCGTTCCCGTTTTTATACGCTGTAATATTAGCAGAGTCAAGTGCCTGGAAGCAGCACTTCACTCCAGACTACCAGCCTCTTGAAATGACCCAGGATTTACATGTGGCTTCCCTGCAGATTTTCTTCTTAGCCTGTCTAGACCTGGAGGTCTCCATGCGCCTGTACGAGAAGCACGCGTTCTGTGCCCTCGTATCCCTTGTTTCCCACCAGGACAGCTCCAGCGAAGCTTAACAACAGGGCGCACTCTCAAGCCACCCCAAACATCAGGAATCTCCCGACCTGTCCAAGCCTGTTCAGCTCCAGGCTTTGTTGCTTTTCCAGAGCGTTTCTGCAGGGCTCCGGCAGGAGGGATGAGCTGTGTCCCTCCCTGATCTTGTTTGTGCCTTGTGCGAAGTGTCTAGCTGAATTCAAGCCATCCTGCACCGCATTTCCCTCGCTGCAGCCCCAGTATGGAGTCTTGGCCAACAGGGAGTGCTGGGCTGGTTGCAGCCACAATAGTGAAAGCTTTTCAGCTTTGCAGCAGCTCTGCGAGTACGTGTGGGAAGGGAGGGCAAACCTATCCCTCCTCTCGTGTTCACTCCCATCCAGTAAATTAACGGAAGCGTGGAAAGCATTGCAGAGGGAACTGCCCCTTTGTTCTGCAGCAATAAAAAAAATCTGTAGCAAGGAATGCAAGATTTGAGTTGGAGATACAATTTCTTCCCCCTGGAATTAGCGGTTGGAGTCTGTTTCTGGCATTATTCCAAGAGGCAAAACCTCCCTGATACCAGTGGGATTGGGTTCCAGAGTCCTCCCCGCCAGGACAGCGTGAGGTTGGCTTAACGTCCCTGTAAAGTAAGAGCAGATCCATCATAGTGTAACTGGTGTGGTGGGGGCAAACTGGTCTGGCTGTTATGTGGCGCATAAGTAGCAAAATGTGTGAGCGCACCAACGCTACTCGAAGGCTAATGGACTGTTCTTTGTATGCTGTGAAATAACTTCCCAGTTACACTGTGAACAACATGCTTTGTCATTTTGTTTTTACAGGTTGAGATACTTTGCGAGCATCCCCGGTTTAGAATATTTGTGGATGGACATCAGCTCTTTGATTTTTACCACCGTATTGAAACACTGTCAGCAATTGACACGATAAAGATAAACGGAGATCTTCAGCTTACAAAACTTGGCTGAGCTTGTTAGGACTGCAGATTCCAAACCGGCTCAAGTGCCATCGTCCGTTTGGAGAAGTGACAGTCGGCTCTGGACACAGCTATGGTAGGAAGGCTGCCTCGTTCCTTTTCTGCATGCAGTTCTTCACTCCAGTGCCGATGAACCGGGCTGTTGTTTATCCTAATGAAGAACATTGTTGGTTAATAGACATTGAGCCGTTTTTCTTGGATCAGACTAGCTCACCTGTGCTGGATAATCAAATTGGAATGGATTCAGAGAGACTCACAGTCTTGTTTCAAATCTCACAGAAAGGCAATTTCTGAAATGCAGTACTAAAACCGGTTACTGAACAGCAGTGGCACACACACACGCACATACACACACACACACAAAAAAAAAAGTTTTTCTTTTGCAAATATTGTTTCTGCACTGAAGTGGAGTAGTGTAGCACAACATAGGGCCACGTGCTGACGTCCTTACCCGGGGCCTGAGCCTGGTTCCATGGAAATCAATGGCAAAACTCCCGCTCACTTTAATGGGGTACAATCAAACTGTCTAGTCCTTAGTCAAGCACAATTCCCACTGATTTCTATGGGATTTTTGCACACGCCTGGGGGCCAGCTCTTCTGCTGGTGTAAATCGGCATCACCTCCATGGCTTGTGATGGAATTTTGCTGATCGCTCCCAGACACTGATTTGGCCCAAGGACTGTGCAAAAACTGGATGAGGGTGCAAGGACACAGCCTGTATATTTTAGTCAGGGTATTTGCATAGAATGTAGATCGTTACGAGTTTTTGCACAATGTATTGTTAATACAATTTTTAAAGCTTATCTGTAGTTTATTTATTTATACTCATTGTATGTATTATTAGTAAAAATGAACAATCTTACTGACGGTTAAGAACAGCAAAGTGTAAACATTTTGAATGTACAAAATGTCTTAGGTTCTTTGGCTAAACTTTACATATCATTCTTGAAAAACCATGTTTCCTATCGAACATTTAGTTACATTTTAGTGGAGCCCTCTAGGCCCTGGGAAAATGCAGGCATGGTAGTTGGTGGGGGTGGGAGGAACTCTTTGCATATTCACTAGAAACTGTTTTTCAGGGCTTACTAACTTTGCTGCACAGGATAGGTTTGAGTTAAAGTCGATCTGTTTTAAAAACTTAAACAGCAAAATTTGTAGGTTTAACTGTGCTTTTATAACCTGAGAAAAAGTTAAATTTGGTAGTCTCTTAGTTCAAAAAGAGAACCAGCCTCTCTCCAAGGGAGATGGGAGATTTTTTGCACTTGTTTGAGAACATGTTCGGCCTTTGATATGACAATTAAAACTTGTCTAGACAGCCAAGTTATTAATGCTTGAAAATCAGCTACTGCACATGAATAATAACTTTTCAAGTAGCTTTTTAAATAGTAGGTATAGCTGTATAAACACAGTCATTGCGCTACACTATAAATGAACACAGCCACTTTTCTTGACTTATTTAGGACTAAATACACTTTTTTCCTTGGCTGCTCACAATAGACTATAGCAGGTCTTTCTGAGTAGTTATAATGATGATATAAACGTATATTTAGGCAATTTTGAAAACATGTAATATAGGGACTTTCTAAGACACAGAATACAAAAACATCCTTTGTAGCACAGTATTTAAAAAAAAAAAAAAAAGAGAGAGAGAGAGAATCTCACAAACAGAACTATGTTAAACCTGCAATAAAGCTGTGGTTTAAAGCAACCAGAACTGGCATATCCAAAGTTAAGGGTAGAATGCCAGTTGTAAAGCCTCATTTTGCGCTAATTTGGCCTGCAGTTAAGAAGCCTTAGACTGCAAGCTGAAATTCCAACTGTGGCTCTAGTCCAAAGCCTGTTGGGGTCAATCAGAGTCCTCCGAGCATAGAAGCCTGATTCTTATTTCATGCAAGCGCAAAGCTCTCTGTAAAGCCAGGGGAGCGTTGCTGCTGCTGCAGATGAGTTAAGAATCAGGCTGCCAGCTACAACATACAAGTTTAAAATGGAATTTTTAGCCTTAACATTGACATTCCCTGACTTTTCCTCCTTTTTCCAAATTAAGAGAACCTGTTGTTTTCCAGATGATGTTTTTATCTGGTGTGTGGCTTTTAAGTTGTACATCGGATTCTATTTGTACTCCAAATTGAATCTTGATATGAAATGTTCCTATCTTGCTCTGTTTTTACTCTTTTACATGATGACTGTGTCATTTTCCATTGTATAAAGAATGCTGACAGTGTTTCGGTACAAAATATATTCTTAAAAATGATGGTGGTGATGATGATGATGATAATAAAAATCCAAGGGAAAGGTGCTTCTACATGAGGTGTTTGGGTTTTTCTCCAGCTTGGACATGTTTGTGGTTCCAAAGTGGATGCCGGCAGAAGATGAATTGTGTTTGGAGAGATATTTAGCACCCTCCCTGCCTAGCGCTTTCTCCAACTAGATCTGTAAAGCCAGGTTTGCTCAGGCAGTGCCGTTGCCTGAGGCTATCCTGCCAGTCCAGTGGGCCATAAGTAAGAGGCTGGAGAGTGTCAAGTAGCACCGTGACTCTACAGTAGCACAAAACCAAAAGGGATCTCCCTGACCACAAAGCCGGTAAAGATTTCCCCTCCGTGCCTTCACTGTAGCCCAGAAAAAGCAGTTTGGCTGACTTAAATTTTCAGCTGCTCGGAGTAGGTTAGCACAGCCCTTGGACTTCTACCCTGCACGGGCTGGGCACAGCACAGTGCCTGGGCCAGGGACACTGAGATGAACTCAATGCACCGTCATGAGGGTGACATCTCTGTCAGCAGCAAGGGCCCAGTGATACTGCCTTGCCTCTGTTCCCACCCTCCATGCTGGGCACTTCTGTTTGTTCCTGCTCCAGTAGTTCTCTGTCTCGGGAAAATGCTTTTTTGAACCCGATTCTGGTTTTGCCTTTGCATAACTCCACCAACCGCGGCACCCACCACCTGATTCTGCCCTATTGTGGTTTCTGAGCCAGGCTTCGAGGCAAGAAGGGCTGCGAACCCACTTCTGATGGGTTGTGGTTTGGCTGAGAGCTCAGGAAAGGGCAGAAAGTCACTGTTAAGGCTTTCACATTTGTTTAACATCAGTTTGGAAGCCTTTTCACTTGTCTTCTGCTCTGGGGCAGTACCAGGCTATGGTGGGCGAAAGAAGGATGATGTCTATACAATCAGGGGCCGTTCCACGCGTGCTTGGCTTACGTTGGCTGATCGTGTTCAGAAGCTACTGGTGAACACTTCTAGGCGCAGAGTAAGTCAGAGAAAACCGAGGCCTTAAACTTTTCTGTTCAGCTGGACTTTGAGCCAAATCCAAACGTTTAAGATGGGAGACTGTGCTGCAAAATTTATATCTGAATCCTTTGGTCCCCACAATTTAGGAATTATTCAGATCCTCATTTTGGATATAAGCCCTACCAGCCCTGAAATAAGACTGTTTCCAAATTGGGCCAGGTTTTCAAAATGTTTTTCAGTAGGGACAAGTAGTCTGTGAGCTTCTTGGAAGCTGCAATTCTTCTGGACTAAGTTAGTGTGTGAACCAACTTTTGAAATCTTATGCTAGAATTTATTAGCTGAGTATTTCTGTGGTTTCCTGTGAATGAGGAAATGAATTCTGAAATGAAAGAAGCCTTGAATGGGTAAAACCCATGTGGAGTGGAAACCCTCAACTTAGCATAGCTTTATTTTTTCTAAAGAGGAAAAAGTAAAAAGAAAACCAACCAAAACCACGACCAAATTATTTAGTTACGTTTGGAATTGGCTGTGATAAAGCTGATTTAATTAAAAAAAAAAAAAAAGATGTTATTGCCTACTCAGAAAGAGCCTTGAAATAATTCAGTATCATGTGAGGTAGTCTGTGTCTAAACATATTTCACGTAAACGCTTTTTCACAGCCAAGTTGTTAAAACTGTTACAAAATACCTTCTTTTTGTGTCACAATTAGAAATGTTTGCCCCACCTTGAAAGAACATTTTGTACTAAATATTCATATGTTGTCTATGTGAACTTGCACTAACATATATTATATTCTCTCTCCCTTCCTTGACTAGCTTGAGAAGAAATAGGCGTAATATTGCTAAACCGGTTGAATGTGACATCTGCTTGAGGCATAGCATCTTTCTCAAGGGCTGTTTTGAGTAAACAGCCTGAAAACCAAAGGGAGAGCCTGATTCACCATTCTGCTGTGCCAGCTTTCCACCCCTGTCACTCTCCCGCTGTGAGGCTGAGACTGAAGCCCTGAGATTTTAATGCAAGGGAGCAGCACCGAGATTTTTATCTTCCGCGATTTAAAACTATTCACTGTGGAGGGAACAAGAAACGAGTAGCCACAGCACTTTCAAGCTTGGTGGTAGTGTTGGGGTAGCATGAAGGTGCTGTAGTCCTAATGGAGCGCGAGTTCAGAGAGAGGTAGTGGACATTTCAGAGCCAGCCAAGAGCACAGGCTGTGGAGCTGCATGACAGTGTCCCAGGGACGGGCATTTGCCACATTGTTAGCTGCCACCTTCTGCAACCCCGATACCAGGACACACAGCAAAAAAACAGCGTTGATTACAGGTCTGGAAAGCATGAACGGGTTTATTTTCCTACCTGCCTTCTTTGAAAGAGGCTCCCAGATAAATAATAGGAATAGCCATGCCGCTAAGGTATTTTTTTCCTCTGCATACGTTCAATCAGTGTATCTGATGCAGCGCTCATGTTGCCTCCCATACATGAGAGGTGCTCCCCACAGCAATCCACAGCGCTGCTTTCCACACTACGGCTGGTTACAGTGACCTTTTCGTGCACAAAACTGCAGAGCCAGTTAGTGGTGGCTCTAAGAAACCTCCCAGCACCCCTGGAATTGATATGACAGTGTGAGGAACAAGAGTCAGGCTGAGGAGAGCCCTAGATGCTCACTATGGTAAGCACAGAAATTAGGAAGAAAAGCTACACAAGCCTGGGAACAGGTAGTGACCTGGGTGAGATTTTTTGTAATCGTGGGTATTGTTCTGATTTTCTCACGTGGATCAGAAAGCATACCAGTAAAAGTCACTTTGCACTGAATGGTGTGTGGGGTTAGAACCAAGGCCAACACAAACGGGGAGAAAAAATGAGCTGCAGACGCTTTATCTGGCTTTGATACACCCTCCCAGCTCCTCCCAGCAATCACTGCTGTTATGAACATACACAATTACTACAACAAGGAGATTTAGCAGCATGTGCAAGATCAAAATAATAAACTCATACTTTGCCACAGGTCCTCCCTAGCTTCTGTTGCTAGGCCTCTCCATCTGCCTGTCAACAAATAACTATATCCTGCTGCTTTTAAAATCCATGGCAAAAATCCTTTTGACTTTCATAGA